AAATCACCCACTGACTTTCAAAGCTGCTACATTACAACAACTTTCTACTTTGAGGATCTTGATAGAAATGTAGTGGAGTGAAAAGTACAATATTTGTCTTTCAAATGTAGTGAAGTTAAAGTCATAAGTTCCCAGAAAAAATAATACTCAAGTAAAGTACCGATACTCAAAAAGTGTACTTAAGTACAGTACTCAAGTAAATGTACTTAGTTACTGTCCGCCTCTGGGCGCGACGCAAGTGTTTTTGCTAGTTTTAGCCTGACGCAGTTGTCATTTTCACGTCCTGCGGCATATTGTTTAAATAGCAAATGCATTTGCGCCCATTTGTGCACCCATGGGCGTGCTGGTCTGAAAACGAGGTGTGTTCAGGTGCATTGCTGGCGCATTGCTATTTTGTGGCAAATGAAATAGACTGCCCCATTGACCAACAAAAACCTGGTCTAAAGTCAATGGTGCAGTAGTTTTTTTGTTATTTAAAGAACACGTTAGTATAGGCAGGTCCACAGAGCGCGTACACTCTGCTTATTACACACACAGGGACGCACAGACGCACACAAACATGCCAAATATTAAAAATGAAAGGATTACAATGTAAAAGATTATTATTGTGTAGGCTACATAAATATAAATGGATATATGGATAGTCATTGCATGTATCAGAATTAGGCTACCTATTTTCTCGCGCACGAGCAGATCCGTTTCCTCTCTGGAGACGTGTTCAGTCTTTGCGCTTGCAAATTCCGCTGTGTAAATAGCACTGCCTGAGCACAACTGCCTCTTAAAGGGAATGGGAGATGAGACTCTGATTGGTTTATTGCACGTTACGCCCAAAACACACCCATTACTCATTAAGAGAATAGGGACAACCCTTTTAAACCATGCGCCGGGTGCGCCGACCATTTTTCCCATCGTTAAATTAGCAAAAGTGGATTTGGACACGCCTTAAGTGCACCTGCGCCGTGCGCTTTAGACCATGCGCTTAGATCGTTAAAATAGGACCCTAGATCTATTAGGACCGTCATGATTAAAGTGCAATGTGAAATGAATGAAAAGTGTTAATTGCAGCATTACATTTACAGTATATTTGCTTTATTACGTTGCATCAGATTTCTTTTTTAAGTGCAGTTTGCAGCATTGAGCATTATAACCAATCACACGTGTTTCTGTTGAGCTTATGAATGCAAAATAACCAATCAGAGGCATTTTGATCCATCACTACGGAGAACTGTTCAGCACACATACTCATTGATTGAATTCTGAATTCTCTCATCAGCATAAACAACAAACTACAGAAATGATGAAAAAAATGATTTTGCAGTGTAGTTATTATAACGGGAGTTTCCGCGAAAAGTGCATAATTCACATTAGAATAAATTCATGAACCGCTCCTTTGCTCGCTTTCTTTATATAATCTATATAATATTGCAGCTTCACCCTCTATTGAGTGCCTGGCTTTCGTTGATGTTGAAAAACATTTAATTGGTAACAGTATATAGTATTGTGATTGTTTGAAGAAATTTGTTAAATCTGATATTAAAACAGATACGTATAATAAAGTAGTTATATCCAAATATGATCCAAAGTAACTAGCAACTCGCTACTTGAGTACTAAAGTAATTATTTCTATAATTACTTGGACTTGAGTACAGTTTTGAGATACTCTGCCCACCTCTGTTCATAGGCCATTAAAAATGTCTCTCCAGTCCAAACAGAAAGTCTATTGAAACAAAGCAAAAATGGCTTGTACCATATCGACATCAAAAAACCAACATGACACATGACCTTTCCCTACTCAATTCCATAATCTAAATTACAACATTTTAAATGGTCTTTTGAAAACCTAGTGAGCTCCTTAAAGACACATTAAGTAACTTAATTATGCTGCCTGCTATAATCACTTCTTTTGCATTAGTCAGATTCTAATGAACCATAACGCACTGCAACAAGCTCAATGAAAAAGATTTCAAGAGGGCACTTAAAAGAAATATTGATTATTAAAAGAGAAAAACACATTAAAATTAGTCATTTAAAACTCCACCGACTAACATTACAACTACACTACTGTTCAAAAGTTCAGAGTTGGTCAGATTTTTTTTTACTGTTTTTGAAAGAAGTCTGCATTTGTTTGTTCAAAAATACAGTAAAAACAGCAATATAGTGAAATTTTACTACAATTTAAAATAACTCATCTTTATTTTAATATATTTTAAAATGTAATTTATTCCTGTGATGGCAAAATTGCACTGCAACAAGCTCAATGAAAAAGATTTCAAGAGGGCCCTTAAAAGAAATATTGATTATTAAAAGAGAAAAACACATTAAAATTAGTCATTTCAAACTCCACCGACTACCATTACAACTACACTACTGTTCAAAAGTTCAGAGTTGGTCAGATTTTTTTTTACTGTTTTTGAAAGAAGTCTGCATTTGTTTGTTCAAAAATACAGTAAAAACAGCAATATAGTGAAATTTTACTACAATTTAAAATAACTCATCTTTATTTTAATATATTTTAAAATGTAATTTATTCCTGTGATGGCAAAATTGCATGATTACTCCAGTCTTCAGGGTCACATGATCCTTCAGAAATCATTCTAATACGCGGATTTGCTTTTCAAACATTATTATCAGTGTTTAAATCAGTTGTGGTGCATAACATTTTTGTGGAAAATAAAACTATTCCTTGGACGTATGCATGTGTACCTGAGTTAAATGTGTTTAGATCTTCGTCCTCTTCATCCAGACAGAGAACAAGCTGTTCTTCAAAGACCTGACAAACAAGACGAGAAAAACACACTCACACACCACAGTTCAGCCATTTTCAAGAACAAAAACAGACCAAAATAAGAACACGGGCATAAACATCTGTCCATTAGCAAACAGAAAAACACACATATGGCAGGTCTAAAAAAGACTAAGTGATCCATTATTGTGTTTCTGATTCCAGGAATTGACAGAGACACACTCACACACAAAAATAACTCCACTCACACTATCCACCAGGGCTTCATCCTCGATTCTCAGTTGGCTGTTCAAATCTGAGGAGCAGAAACAACAAATACAACACAAAAATTGATTTCCACTTGTACACGATTGCCAACTTGAGCACAAACAAGCCTTTCTGCTGGAAAACTGAGACACCTATCACCATGGTAAGCAGTGACAGGAAGTGTCTGCACATTAAGTTCACAGGGTCATAGAGGCTAAACCTGCTGAGGCTCCTGCGGTCAACACAACAAGCTGGCAATCTCTCTGTGTCTCTTTACAGCATTTACATCACGCCGTTCCTTCTTGATCTGTCGAACTATAGGCAGATTATTTCTCTCATTTTGTCCTCTCTTACCCCTCCCAAACATATAGTGTCTCTGTCTCTCGGCCCACCCAGGAGGAATGTGTCTCCTCATACTGGACATGTTTGGGAAACCAGCCGGAGGTAACTCACAAAGACTGCTCTGTGTATGTGTGTGTATTAGTGTGTGTGTACTCCTCATCGCACATTCTACCACAATGTCCTCCTGACTAAGCCAAATTCACCCAATGTACTCTAACAACCCTGCCAGACCTAACTCACAGTGACAGACAGAGAGAGAGAGAGAGAGAGAGAGAGAGAGAGAGTCGGGTGTGGGGAGAGCTGGGGTCAAGAAGAGGGAAAGGAACAAGAGACAAACAGAAAAAGAGAAAGTGGAATAACAGAAGGAGGATTGAGGTTAAGTGAGAGCCAGAAGAGAAGAAAATTTATCACATCAGCAGGATGAAACGTGATAAGACCTTGGCAAGAGCAAAATATAGAAACTAGCCATAAAATAAACCCAAGACAGGAGGACTAAAATAAAGTGAAAAATAATAATATGAACATTATGGCCAGAACTGATCTTGTGGAGTTTGAATTCTCACCACACGTCTTATATCTAATTTCCAGAAATACACAAATATCAGTTGAAATCCCAGACTGCTGCTGAAAATTTTAGTTTAATAGTTCAGATTGAGTTTATTATTGCTAACAAGGGTAAAAAAAATTTAAATAAAATAAAAAAACTGACAGACATTTTAGTCTGTGTATTGGGGTAAAATGCATAGAAATTAGCTCTGGCTTACCTGTATCACATACATCAGACCTGTGCATGCGCTCTTCTGACGGCTCACTCAGTCGCCCCACCTGTGACGTGTTAAACTGTCAGGTCTGATACAGAATCACATTTGCATTTGACATCAGTGGAATAACTGTTAGGAATGAAGTGGATTCCTGATCAACCTTTTTGGTTTGTGAATAATTCACATAATGGTTGTAATTAATCTGATCTGATCTGACTATACATTGATGCTTTCCCATGGATTTATACACATATGTTATGGAAATCCCAAACACAAGGTCAACAAAGCATTTTAAAAATCTTATTTTAAATGGACATATACTACATTCAAAAGGTTGGGGTCAGAAAGATTTTTTTAAGAAATTAATGCTTTTATTCAGCAAGGATGCAATAAATCAAAAGTGAAAGGAATAAATTACATGTTAAAATACATTAAAATAGAAAAATGTAAGGATTGTTCAAAAATATTTTACTGTATTTTTGATCAAATAAATGCAGTCTTGATGAGCATAAGATACTTTTTTAAAAAACATTTAAAAGCCAATCCTAAACCTTTAAATGGTACTGTACATTTACTTATTAAACTATGTAAAATTACTTATAAAAACAGTTTAGAGAACCATCACAGGTACATGAGTTACAGCACTTGTAATCTCTCTAGTGATCTTGTTCTGTCTGCCAGCAGCTGTTATATGAGAAATACCAGTCTGCTGCTCAAAGCAATACCTGTAAACGATACTGTAAACTGCAATAAAAGTTTCCAAAGTTATGACTTTAGTCATTTATAGACTCATAAAACTCTGTTTCACACATCATTCTCCTGTAACCTGCTCTTAGAGGTTTATGATGAAAAATGAAGAGAGGGGTGGACAGCTGAGGTGTATTTCAAACTGGGGATTATTTCACCTGGTGTGTTAAAATACATTCTCTTCCATAACATATGGTAAGCACATAAAATATTTAATCCATAATAAAATGAATATTAGCCATATATTTACTCAAAATACACAGATCATTTTGAATTATTTTGAATAACTGTCAATAGAGAGATGATTTTGGGGTCCAGATGATGTATTTACAGCATTTACCAGCAGAGGCTAACAGGTCTATGCTAACCAGCTGAACCTTTGATCTGAATCACCAGCAAATTGGGAGAGTGTTTGAAATTTGTATTTGAAAGGAAATTATAGTTTCCTTTTAACTGGTAAAACTTTATAAGAGCAAAAAGCAGAAAATAATCAGAAAAGCTTATTGTGAAGCTTAGTCAAAAATATTTTTTCTGTTCCTTATACACCGCTTTTTAAGCAGAGATTAAAAAATGTCCAAGATTTTCAGAGAGTCACTAACAGTGAAAAACAAAAATTTGAAACCAGACTGTTTAGGCTCATCTTAGTAGTTATTTTCTTCTGTCTTTATTGCTATAAATAACCACTACATTTAAGTAAAAATAGTAATTTTGATCCTCTCTGTTGTTTTTGTTGCCTGTCTTTTCTCAGTCCTTCCTTTTGCAAACAATAACCATGAGATTTCCACATTCTTTTGATAGCTCTACAATAGACAGGAAGCAAAGAAAGAGTTTCCTTGAAATTGGTGTTCAATGCAGACTCACCCTTGCAAGTGCATCTGGCTCTCTGCTCTTCTCTCTGTACAGCTGGATACTGTGCTGTGCATCTATATATGTGCTGTTATTCACAGTCAGACTAATAGATTCGGTGACAGGGCAGATACGAAGCTGGTGAGAGCCGTCTGTCCATATCTGATACATCCACACTGGCCTCCATGCACTGCAACTCGAGGGACTGATCATACACAGTCATAAGACACATGAAACTCAGCCCCTACTGTACACTGGATCAATGACTGAGGTGACACATCAGTGATTAATGGATCTTTTTCTCATGTAATCTAATTATAGTGTATTGTGTCAGGCTGGACAGAGTGACTCACTCTGTTAGAGCGCTGATGAGCGTCAGGTCTCCGCGCTTCTGAGCCAGCGTGAGAGGACTATGGCCTTCCTTGTCGACTATGGGAACCATCCTCTGACCTTCAGACTCCAGGAGGAGGAAGTGAATGAGGTGGGGGAACCCCATATGTATAGCCACATGTAGAGGCGTTGCCCTGGAAAGGAGATCTAAAAGAGACAGAGAACGATAAATAATCAGACTTGGGAAACTTTTTCACAGTATAATTTTTTATATTTATAAAAGAGGTTATTTTTCTATTTATTTCATTTCACTGACAAATACAATAAAAAAAAAACTCTCCCTTTCCTATTTTGGGGGAAATTAGCTATTTATGAGGTGTACAAGCATAAAAGTAGTGTGGGTAGGCGATATGACCAAAATCTAATATCACGATACGAGTAATTTTATTTCACGGTAACAACATATATAACAATATAGTTATTTATGCTTTAAATAAGGTCTTTATGATATAAAAATTTTTGATACCATAGAAATTTCATAATTCTTATCACCAGTGTCAATATCACAAAAAAAACAATACTAGCCTTAAAAAAAAAAAACATCACTGCGGAAAACAGTAAGTGAGTAAATACGAATAATAAACTAATTACAAGCAATAGATTAAAAAACTACAGTAGAACAAATAAATAAGAAATGCTACATACATTGTATAAAGTAATAAAATATATAAAAACACTGCATATTCACTGTGTAAACTAAATATATTTCTTCTTATTAAAGTTACAAAAGTGATTTACTCAAGAGCAGTGAGAGATTTTCTCTCTTTTGTTATTTGATTAACATGATGAATGACAGACTGCAGGAATATTAGAGTGCTATCACTTTAAGAGCTGCCTGGATCCAATATACTGTTACACATTTATTTTCTTTCTCAGTTAATAGTGTCTAGCGGTATATCACCCACCCCTATATGTAGTAGGCATGATATTGTAATTTGTAGAGAGTGTGTCATGCTTTGCAGTGATGCATGGCAAAGTTCTCTTTAATTCCACCCCCAGATTTAGTTTATTGCGTAACATCATTTTTTTTTCTCATCATTAATCTTTTTTCCCATCAATAAATATTATTCCTATTGAGGAATATACGGTATATTAAACCACACACAAATTTCAATAACTTTTAATATATTTTAATTTGTTTTAAGAGAAAGCCTTTTGCATGCTCCCATAGGGAGATTCTGTCAAATAATAATAATAATAATAATAATAAAATCTTCACAATTATAAGAAATCAGGAGCCCATTTGGCATATTAGTGTAAAAGTTCTAAAATATACACAAGATGTTGTTTTGTTATTTGTATGCGAGCCCCTCTGTGCTTTGTGCTCTGTGCAAACAAGCAGCAGTCTGATAACAGGTATAATGCGGTCTAAAAAAGTAATACCCTTGTGGACATTAGTAATGTGGACATCCACATTGATAGCTTAGAGTTCAAACAGAAAGCTAATCCCTGTGTGGTACACATCTGGTCATAAATATGTGGTAGGGTGACAAACACTTATGGCAAGCACTTTGCACATAGTCTCTCTATATGTATAATAAAGGGGTGTCAAAGACGGTCCATGGAGGAGTCCAGTCAGCCTTTTAGATGATTTTAAGAAATTAATTTTTTATTCAATCCGGCCTTCAAACTACAATGAATGTGGCACCTTTTCTGTTTTCCACTTTATTGTTTTAGTGTTTCCCATAAGTGTGCGTGGGCCTCAGATATTTATTGTGTAGAACCTGCTCATCAGGTTATCACGATACTCCGCAAACACAAATTCAAAATGATTTTCATCAAGTAGACTCATCATAAACAATCAGTTCATCTTCATATGAACGAAATTCAGGAGGTTCAGGATATAAAGAATCAAGTGGATAAAGCCTTGAATAGGTGTGGGATTATTTTCTTTGTCCTAGTTCAGTGGAACTGAGGACAAGTTACTGGGTGTTGACAGACAAACTAAAGAGGGGACTCTAAACTGGACTGGTGTGTTTGTAAAGCACTGCACACACATGCACAGTAATTGATTGAACAGATGTCTACGACTCTTTGCTCATGCTGATAGTGGTAGTCGAACTGCTGTTTTGATTTAAAAGAGATTTGTCAGCGAGGTGAGGCAACATTTCCATAGCCAAATCACACTGCTCTCACTGCTCTGCAAGCACGTCACTTATATATTTTGCAAGAAGTTGCAGGAACCGAACCAGTTATTTGTTTGAGAGATAAAGGATTGCTGTTGCCTGATGTTTGTTGGTGACATTTCTAAAGTGCAGCATGCTAAAGCTGTTTTTCTCAGCAAACTGCCAACAACAATAGTTCTCAGGGGAATGCAACTAATTTAAAGGATTAGATAAACATATTCATATCCAATAAGTGAATGTCCAGGTTGTTTTGATACACTTAAAACAAGCAGTAACACTTGTGCCATAAATTACTGTTACTTTCCCTGAGACTAACAAGAATGTTGCTAAAGAGTGCTGTCATTAATTAAAGCTGACACGCTGTTCTTCAGACAAAGCAACGAAATGAACGCTAATTCAGCTGTGCAATTTACTGCAAATAATCGCTAGTGTTATGTAAGAGGCCCCGTGTGCACTAGAGACATTCTTTAAATCTCTCTCCATTCTCACTGTTCAAGAAATTAGTTAATGTTCCATGATGGAACGGGCACTGTATCCATTCTCACTAAGACATACTGTAACTCCAGACCATAACAACTACTACACTGCACTGTATTTCACACACACACACACACTTATTTATATATAAATATACATTAAATTATTTATATACGCTAACTTATTTATATATAAAACATCAATCTACTGTCCATATTAAAATATTGCTATAATCAAAAGAAGACTCTATATAGCATTATTATTTTCATTTCAGAATATTCTGCATTGAACATTTTTCTTATCAATATGCATGTATAAACCAATAGGAATTATATTTATATTGTGTAAGATTTCCTAATTCTGAAGATTTCCTAATTCTACTGTAATTAAATGAAGCCAAACATAAGAAAAAAAGTAAATACACACAAATACATTTCAATATATAATTCAAACAGAACACACCTATTAAAACACTTTTAAAGAAACATAGATCATGTATGTGAAATAAAATATTGCATGAACAATATTAATTAATTAGTAAAACGGCTATGCTAAAACTGGGCTCTGGCCAACAAGACTAGTCAAATTATTGTGCACTATTTTAGTCTATATCACTGTTTGTTTATATTGGCTCTCTGTCACATGAGAAGCATGTTCCTAACACTCATCCTGATAACCTGCTCTGACGCAACAGTGTTTCCTCAAATTGGAAATCCCCATTGCACAAAAAACTAAGACGTGGATAAAAATCCTAAATGTTTTTTTTCTTTTAAATTTTTGTGTCAAACATTTACACACACACACACACACACATATATATATATATTATATATGTGACCCTGGACCACAAAACCAGTCATAAGTAACACAGGTATATTTGTAGCAATAATATAAATTTTTTATTAGTAATATGCATTGCTAAAAACTTCATTTGGACAACTTTAATGGCAATTTTCTCAATATTTTAATTCAGATTCCAGATTTTCAAATAGTTGTATCTCAGCCAAATCTTGCCCTAGCCTAACAAGCAATGGAATGGAAAGCTTATTTATTCAGTAATAAATCTCAATTAAAAAAAATGGACCTTATTTTGCGGTCCAGGATCACACACACATATTATACACATTATATATATATATATTATGCACAGACTAATTGGCCGAGGACCCTAAAACCATTCACTTTAATGAGTCTAGATTCTAAGAGAACACAAAACAATATTACTTAGAGTTACTCAGTTGTAACTAAAGTGCTGTTGAATTTAATCCTGTGTTCCACTAACGAGCCATAACAAACATGGTGCAGAGCTCCATACATCTAAACCAGTCCAAAACAAAAGTTAGTTATACACCCACATGGATAATGCAATCAGAATGTAATTCATACAGTCCATTCAAGCAGTATCTTAAATGGCAATGGCACATCTGTAAAGATCACAAGAGGCTCTAAACGTTTCAGAAAGGTGATCTGTGTTTCCAAAACATAAATCACATGAATAAAACGGCAGTCTGGGTTACGGTGCTTTGAAGTGTACTTTTTTCTGAGAACTAATTTGTTTGAAGTCTTTGCCCAATCTATTTGTACATAACGGTCAGAATCTAGTGTAGTAGACAGGAATAAAATAAAGGTTAGCAGTAACGACAAAGTGAAACTGACTGACCTTGCTTCTCCTGTCCAGCTTGGCTGTCCCATCCCAGAAAGTGCAAGTTAGCCAGGGCCTGTGTGATTTTTTCATCAACTGCACTGTGTTGTCCCACTGTGCATCTGTGCTCTGGATTAAACTCTGATGTTCCTGAGGCTTCTCTCTGGCTGAAATTCCCCTGTTCACAAATACTGAGCCCCTGTTCTGCTAGGCTTTCCAATCGAAATAATTCCTTTGGATCGCAAACCCCATCTGTCCCATGCTGGCCAGTCTGGTCTAAACGGTTAGTCTCAGATGAAAACATTTTCTCTGGGCAGAATTTCCTTAGGATATCCTGATAGCTGCTGGATGTCAAGTTCATGAGCTGCTCCGCCACCTCTTGTGCCTCATCCCATATGTACTCCAGAGAGAGCTGTCCTGAATTGCAGAGGAGGCTGATGGGACTCCCGCTGTCCCTCGAACAGCAGTAAACCTCCACAGATACTTTCTCTGGAACATCGTGGCCTTGATGGAGAAAAGGTGAGAAAGGTTCAAATATGTTAAATGATACCTCTTCCATCTGCTCATCATGAACTACATTTTGATCATGTTTACGTGGTTGTCTAATCATACTGTATTTGCTTTATTTTGTTTGTTTCCCTCAATGTTCCCCGACAGATGCTTGGTCTACTTTTTAATATTTTGTCATTTGTCTTTTTGTTTAGCTTTGTTTTACAGCATTTTAAACTAAAGGCTGCTGAAGAAAGGACAAGTCCTTTAATATGTCTGAAAAACAAAAAACTAGGGTACTATTTGTACATCACAGTATTGTCTTGTGTTACTGTCTTGATTCAGGTCACATGGCAAAACACAAAAACAGGATGTTATGAACACTGGGACATGATATTATAGGAAGAAATCATGCACTGGCTCATTTTTGCTTTCACGGACACGTAAAACCATCAGGTAACATAAGCTCATATCTTTATTTCATTATGTTTTAGGACTGAACTGTTTCTTTCAGGTATCTGTTGCCTTCTAACTATTTGTGTCCATAGAAACACTTATTCACTAACATATACAAACAAGCACTACTATTATACAGCACTATACTTTTCCATGGCAACAGGAAATCCCCTTACAGTCCTGTTCACACCAAGGACAGTGAACATAAAGGTAACTATAACTATAAAGTTTTAATAATCATTTTAATTCTGTGAAAATAGGCAAGACCACACTACAACTATAACAATAACAACACAGAGCAACAATAACATTGGAATCATGTTTCCAGCCAATATAGTTATTGTTATAGTTATCAATCTTGCAGGCCTTTACACATTCAAAGAAAATTATTGCTCTATATACAACTATTATACTCTGTGATTTGTTTAGTGTCTCACCAGGCACAGTGAATTTAATTGAGCCTTGATCCTCGGCCCTGTGAGCTGTGGTTACATGGTGAAGAGATGAGCCCACAAGGACCACATGGTAGTTAGCTTCTTCCTGAACACTCTGCGACACCTGCAGCTTCACACAGACCTCCACCTGACCCTGAGAGAAAGACAATTACATCCACATTATGATTTGTGTTACACACCGTATACCATAATGAATGTGTCAAAAAAATTATTTTTAAAGCCAAGACAAATCTTTGAAAATGGAGCTTATTATTCAGGCAAATAAAGTTTAATGAAATGTTAGGTTAGTGAAAATGAAAATGAAACTAAACAGAGAAATAATGACAGAGAGAGAAGAACGAGAGAGATTCTTGTTGTGCAGTGCTGAAGTACACTGAAAACTGAGACCGTATGAGAGTTGAGTTGGGCAATCCAGACCGCCAATGTCTTTGATTTGGCAGAGTTAGATGAAAAAGGAGGATATGAAATGTTTTCTATTATCTCCAGCCATTTTCACCTGTTCACTGAATACTGGGCTCCTCCTGTACAGACTTGTTTGCATAAACATTACAGCAAAGGACATAGCTAAATCAGGATGTAAATTTAAAGCAAAAAAAAAACACCCACCAACCCACCAATCAGCCCAGCCTTCATCAGGCCTTAGCCATGATTGTAGCACAGAGAAAAAAAAACATTTAACAGAAGCTGTCCTAAATCCTCAAACTCATGTAGGTAGTGTTACTGCTGCATAATGCACAATTGGACATTTTTGTTTATTTAAACTATATTAACTAAGCATTTTATGAAAAGGTGTACCTACTTAACCATATACAGTGGTGTGAAAAAGTGTTGGCCCCCTTCCTGATTGCTTATTTTTTTGCATGTTTGTCACACTTTAATGTTTGAACACAAGTGAACACAACATGCAGTTTTTAAATGAAGATGTTTTTATTATTAAGGGAAAGCTAAATCCAAAACTACACGGCCCTGTGAGAAAAAGTGTTTGCCCCCTAAACCTAATAACTGGTTGGGCCACCCTTAGCAGCAACAACTGCAATCAAGCGTTTGCAATAACTTGCAATGAGTCTGTTACAGCGTCATATGATCATTCTTCAATGTACTATAACCTCTAAGAAACACTTCATAAGTGGCCGCGCTCCAGTATAAGGGACTTTACCTACTATTAATACTTAAGACAATTTACACTGCACACGTCTGCGGTGCAGTATGGCTCTGATACGCCCACTGAAGCTGATTACGGCCACGCAGTGCTTGTGTTTATGTTTTTATACAGTCTATGGTTTATTGCAGCCACGCCACGCACGTTTCTGAAGCGGCTCTCTTTGCTGCTTCTGTAAAGATACATGCATATGCCTCCTTTGAATAAATATAGCCAAAATCCATCAAAATCCCACCAAAATCCGTTGCCATGACTTATCGCGAGAGGCAAAAGGTTACGTTTTAGCCGCATAACATTGGTTAATGGAAACGGCGTCATTTTGCAATACTTTTTTATCAGCATTCAGAAAATATCGCCAAAGTTTTGCGCCAATCTGTAATGGAAACGCGCCTACTGTGGTTTGCTGGAGTCCCCAAACTTTAGAAATGGCTTTATAACCTTTTCCAGACTGATAGATCTCAATTAATTTCTTTCTCATTTGTCTCTGAATTTCTTTGGATCTCGGCATGATGTCTAGCTTTTGAGGATCTTTTGGTCTACTTCACTTTGTCAGGCAGGTCCTATTTAAGAGATTTCTTGATTGCGAACAGGTGTGGCAGTAATCAGGCCTGGGTGTGGCTAGAGAGATTGAATTCAGGTGTGATAAACCACAGTTTTAACAGGGGGGCAAACACTTCTTCACACAGGGACATGTAGTTTTGGATTTTGTTTTCCCTTAATCATAAAAACCTTTATTTAAAAACTGCATGTTGTGTTTACTTGTGTTATCTTTGACTAATATTTAAATTTGTTTGACGATCTGAAATATTAAAGTGTGACAAACATGCAAAAAAATAAGAAATCAGGAAGGGGGCCAACACTTTTCACACCACTCTATTGGGGACAAATGTAAAGTATGTGACTTACTTACTTATTTTTTTCTATACTGGTGGGGACTTAAACCTGAATACACACCAACTCATGGGGACTTGTGTCACTGTGGGGACCTAAATTGAGGTCCCCATTGGTACAGAAGCTTATAAATCATACAGAATTCATTTTTTTGAGAAAGTAAAAATGCACAAAGTTTTCTGTGAGGGGTAGGTTTAGGTGTAGGGTTGGTGTAGAGCGATAGAAAACAGTTTGTACAGTATAAAAACCATTATGCCTATGGAGAGTCCCCACAAGGATAGTGAACCAGACACGTGTGTGTGTGTGTGTGTGTGTGTGTGAGAGTGAGAGAGAGAGAGCGAGAGAGAGGTAATTCTTCATTTAAAGTGTATCTGAAGTCTATGCCAAGGCTGCATGTTTATGTAAATGGGTCTTTCTGATCTCAGATGCAGCTGTTGCAGTTCAACAGTACCGTCAGACTGACACTATGAGAGACAAATGAAAATAAACTGATTGTGCTGGTACTGAACCTAATTATAAAGCAATTTCTTTACTCTGAAATAAGATTCTAAAGGAAGTGTAAACAAAGTTAAAGTACCAATGAATTTCAAATATGGGAAATTGATAAAAAAAATGTTGTTTGTTTATTTCATACTGGGAGTTTTAACTGCTGATTTTTAGATTGTTTAAACAAAGTAATTAGGGTGATTAATCAGAGGCTGGACTCATTATCAAAAGTATGAGGTCATGCATCTTGATTAATACGGTGCTCAGCTCTATTGTTTCATTGAATATCTACTATGAGTAGTTTATGTTTTTTCCCTCCAATCAAAATATGCAATATTTTTTTGACTGATCTCATGGAAAAAAAAAAGATTAATTATTTTAACTTTCATTAGTTATTAACAAACATTATAGGCCTGATGTTTAACAGATCAATGGCTCAAGAATATTTAAATAAGTTTACAAATACTGTATATGGCTATTTGAATTTAACATGACAGAATACATGTTGTAAATGCTACTAAATGAACTGTATAGTGAAGTGTTACCATCTTTATATTCATGTCCAATACCATACTACAGAATGGTATGAACACAATAAACAAAGAACAAATGTGCTAAATGCATGAGAAGAAGTAAAGAGCCACAAAATTTCAAACAAAATACATCCAGAAGCATGGAAAGTTATCCTAAAATAATACAGGTGACAGAGCAGACAAAGCAGACAAAAAATAACAAATCCATAAGCACAATCATTCATCATCAATGCAGGCATTCACACACACTTACCAACACACACGGCCCATAGACATTTACCCATAATTCCACGCTCTGATTTCATTAAACAGACCCTGGATCAAAGAAACACCCCGTAAAAGAGGGAGGTGAACAGTAAATTCAGTCTCGCCGGAGGCATGCGTGTGACAAGGCACTTTTCTCTTTCTCCCTCCATTCAACATAAAGCCTCCGTTTGATTGTTTGCCTTCCTTCACCAGACGTCTCCCTCACTTCCTCTCATTTAAGAGGCCCTGCAGAAATAGTGATGGAGGGAGAGAGGAGGGATACAGAGCAGGTTTGGTGTGGGAATGGGGGAAAGGTAAAGTCTCTCCTATTTTCTCAGGCTCTGTATAGTGCACATAGGGATGAATGATGAGCATGGGATTCTCTCTGCTCCTCCTCTCTTTTCTTTCTTCACCCTGTCTCTCAGTTGTGCAGATTGACAGCGTTCCTCTCTCTTCCCACACAGTCCTGCTGTCGTTTCATAGCAGTAAAACTCTCAAGTCCTTAATCTAACAGATCCAGCTTTAGTTCTGCTTGCAAACATTATGGGTATTGTAGCCAAAATCTTGCATCACAATATGAGTCATGTTTAAAAATGGTTTCTATTTTAATCATCATGTGGTACTTTCCATTTTTAGATAACCCAGTAAAGTAAATAATAAAAACAAAAAAGGTAATTGATTATTTTCTTGCTTTATTTGGAAACTAGACAAAACCAAAAGACAAGATTATTCATAAGACATGGATAACTCTGATATGAGTGGAAAAACAGCTGCTTTATAATGTAACAATTGAGTTAATAAAGACTCAAAAAAAAAGTAAATAGTTACATATACACATACATGTGTATGCAGGGCAGTCCTTAGGGGGGTGCAATTGGTGCGGTCGCACCAGGCTCCGCACTTGAGGGGGCCCCGCGGACGGACCAAGGGCTCCCTACCCGCTCCCTACCTCGCACGGGGCCCCACGTCAACTAAGAATGGCCCTGTGTGTATGTATTTTGATTTTTTTTTTTTGAGGCAAGACTACACAAAAACATTTTAAAGATGAAATATAAACAAGCCAAAAATACTGATTTAGAAAATGATGCTATAGTCAGATCAACAATATTTACTAAACCTAATGATTATATTTCAAATATTGTATGCAACAGATGGAACAGAGCAGTTAGCAAGTGTATATTTGGTCCTATGTTTAGTCTTGTTGTCATGCTGGCTTATGAATGAAGAAAAGTGCAGAAGCTGAATTACTGCGGCTACTTTTTGGATCAATGAGGGGATGTTATTGTCTCCAGCACCTGGTTGCAGACAAGTTCAGAAAAACACCTCACTAATACACTGGTCCCTATGGACGGCATGTGTGTGTTTCCTTACCGATGACATCTGAGAAGGGTGTGTATGGGTTCTCATGTTCAAACAGGATTCATGGCCAAATGCATGTTTAGGTTAGCATTGCTATTGAGTAGTTATGTCTTTCTACCATCTTTTCAGATGTATGTGCATCTCACAGTTTACATCATCTAGTCTGATACACAACATTTAAAATGTAACAAAATAAAGCAAATTTTAAAGACTTGGAATAAAACCATTTTAGTCAAGGCATTCAGAAATAGGTGCAATACTAAGTGATCAAAGTCTGAGCAATTTTGTTTTAATTATTCCTGTTTCTAACCAGTAGAGTTAGTTTCAGAACAATGTACCAACGCTTTAAAACCAGAAACAAACATATTAATTGTGACATATTTACTGGAGGTTCAGTCAATTACATGACTCAAGGATGGGTGATACCATTATTATACACCAAAGCAAACCTACAATTAA